AATCCACCTAAAACTCCCAAACACTTTTCCTTAGAGGAAGGACTTAGAAGAATTCAAAATATCAATACTACTAAAATTTCTACTATGCAAGATCTTGCAGATGTAATTATGATGTTGAGCATGAAACCTGCTAAAGTTGCCACTCTTCGTATTATCCATTATGAACCCGGTGAATCAAATTCTCCTGAATGGTACAAATCTGGTTATTCTTGATATTGTATTGGGTATATTAAAAACAAAGAAAAAGCAAAAACCTCAGCAATTTCTATTTATAGAAAATAATCCAGAATATGCAAAAGAATTGCTTACCTGGATCCAAGATGCAATAGCAACCAGAAAATTACGCAATCCTGTTTATAGTATTAGTAGAAAATGCAGTACAGGAGTATTTAGTAAATTCTTAAAACTATATAGTATTACAGCTAAAAAATTAAGAAAAATCAGAGATAAACATGCTTCTAGAGTTCATGATGATCAAAATCTAACTTAGCAACATCTTGAATTCCTTAGCAGAGTTGCAATGAGGCATAAGATAGACCGTTTTGATTCTGAAAAATATTATGCTGAGGGTGATACTTCGGATTTTGACCTTGACTCAGATTCAACCCTGAACCTGAAACCCTAGCTCTACACCCAAGCCAATTAATAAGAATACTTCCAAAATTGAGAATATCTGTGACTTATATGGGAGTATCTAGATTAGTTTATAACTTTCTATTCATTCACTATAACCCAGCTTCGCCCCTTTGGGACTGCTTTGCAATAAATCTATCTGCAATAATCAGACATATTAGAACCACACTTACCCTTAAGTTAAATTTTTTATCTATGATTGCCAGTGAAGATCGAGCGATCTCTCATGAGTCTCGAGGAGCGATGTCATGCATGAATCAGTATAAAAGTTGGTGCAACATAGATAGTGCTGATTATTTTTTTCCATTATATATTAAAGATAAATATTTAATAAAATCCATACATCTGAAATAGCAAATATACAATATGTGTTATAGCAGAGTACAAAATAAGTTAAGTGAATATGGTGTAAATTATATTGTTAACAATATTAAAATATCAGAAGTATGGTTACGATTTGCAAGATATTATCTACCAAAATATGTATACAAGCATTTATTAAAACTAGGATATGAAATAAATAGTAGAGATTATTGGAAAAATTGTGTATTTTGTATCAAAAATAATTTGACTATCCATAAGCAAATAGATAATAACCCTAAATATAGGAATTTTAAAGTTCAACTAGCATTATATAAAAAAAATCATGCAATATTAATTATCTAGAAGATATATTATTTATGGAAAAAACAAATAAATTCAGCTAAAATAATCCAGCATACAGTAATTAAATGGCTCTATAGATCTGATGGAATATTTATAAAACATACTCAAGATCAGTATTATTGCAAAGCTTTCACACTTTGTAAGTCAAAATGCTAATAAACTTGAAAATTGAGAATGCTATCATGTCTAATTATCAAGCTTTATAGAGGAGCTATAAAGTATCTTTGACGCATCTGATCTTATATATGGCCACAAAATTAATTATAACCACGAAATTATATCACATTATAATGGGCCTTGGGAAAGCGATATTATGTGTTTTAAATCCAAGAGCTATGATTCAAAGAAGAGACAGAGTCTCGAATCTCTGATTCATCGCCTAATAACCTACTCTGTAATAGATTAATATATTAGATTTGTATAATTATTAATATATAACAGTAAATCAAATTTTTTGTATGATGTCAGACAAGGTTCAACATATGAACAAATCTTAGTCTGGGTCACAATCTATTAAATCACATGTGGTAGTAATATTATGTGTGTCTTGGATGAATCAATCGATCACTATAAAAATAATACCTGAACTTATCATGTTTTTGCTCAAACTTTCTAGTATATTCTCAGTAGCATATACATAATAGACCTTTTGGGTTATTGCTCTACAATACTTGGTCCATGTACTGAAGTTTCTATAATATAAGAAATGATCTATTAATGGCCCGTTAATAAAATGAAATAAATTTGTAAATGATCAATAAATAACCATGCTATTAAAGTGATGAAATGGGTAATGTTTATTACTATAATTGTTATTATTTACTGAATCTACTAGTTTACATATATGAAGTGGAGTCAATAGAAAAGGGACAAATCATTTTTAGTAAAATTTTTTTAATTTTCAAATTAAAATATCTTAACAACTAATTAATCAAATTTGCTTAAAATTTTTTTATTTTTTATTTTGAAATTATAAAGAATTAAAAAAAATAAAAAAAAATATTAAATTTGATAAGATAATTGCTGAGATATTTAAGCTTAAAGTCAAAAAAACTTTTACTTAAAAAAAATTTGGTCTTTTTCTATTGACTCTACCCTATATATCACACTTTACCTCTATTACCCAAACTACGTATTATCATATCTTTTAGATCTGGGACCTCTATTCTCAAATGAATTTTCATCTTTATTCTTTGATGACGAATCAATGTTTTTTCTAGCAAGTTCGAGCCTTTACAAGTAAAATTACTGAAATAGAAATTAAAACACAAAATTTTGTATAAAGAAGCAATTTTTCTCTCATTGCAACCCCTTTTACAAAATTTTTTGAAAAAATAAAGAATCGCGATATAATTAATAAAAGTTTATAAAAGCAAATCCTTTTAAAATAAAAATTCTTAGCTCTAATTAAATCTCCACAGATAATTCTCTAACTTGATCTTCTTTGCATAAATGTATTCATTTAACAACACCTTGGGTAATATGCTTTTTATAGTTCTTCCTGCTTTTTTTTTTATTTCTCATAGTGATATTTCTCGAAAATATCTACTTATATGTAGGGGTTATCATTATATGGTTCTTTTTGTGTGATATTAGAAATAAAATCAGCAATGAATCAAACTCTTGTGATACCAAGATCAACACTACTATTGCTAAAGAAATCATCAAGATTAGAGCCGAAATTAATAATGATCTTACTGCAAAAATAAATTTCTGTGATGCTAATTATGCAACGAAAGCACAGAATATCATTACCATGATTAATGATGCGTATGAGAAATATAACAAAATCAAACATGTTCTAGAAATCTACTATAATAATTTTAATCAAATTGTTAATGAATTTGAAACAATCAGAAGAACTATTACAACACTTCAAGACAAAATTAATCAACGATACTCCCTTATCCAAAGCATAAGCAGAAGAGAATCTGATCAACAAAGTGAAACATCATCATTATCATCATCATCTATACGATCATCAAATTCTACAGGATCTGGTTGAATTCAATATTCAAATATTAGCTCAACTATCTGGACCCATTTTAAAGAAGTATTTGATCAAAAAAAGAATACAAGAAATCTTACTTTTAATGAAATGTGTAACAAGATAGAGGTATGCATCCAAGACCTTGGTAGTAAAATTAAAACAGCAACAATTAAAAATTTTTATAATAATAGCACTAGTTGTAAAAGTTACACACTTAATGATATAAGTAGATGGTTAGATAACATAGAGTAGCAGGAAGGAACTGCTATATTATAGTCTAGGGGCTAGCAAATTCCTTTCTTGAAACAACTGCTACTCCAATATTCATTTTCTACTTAGCTAGCCTGGGCCATTTTCATATATATCTACAAAATTAATAAAGCTTTTATTTATGATTTGATTTTTAAATATATTCATTTGCTAAGAATTAATTTATTTATCATAGTTCATTTTGACTTTTACAATATATATCTAATATAGACTGTTGATCTGTTGAAGTAACAAAAATTATTTGTCTAAATCTACATTATCAAAAAGATCAACAGGAAAATGAATTTTACTTACGATATTACATTACATAACAGTAGCAATATTGAGTATCAACTAATTACAGGTTTGTATACCTTATTGTTCATTAATGTGTTAGAATAAATTCCGCATATAAATTTATACCTTACATTATTGCTATTATTATACACAATCATCATTCACATCTATATTAAAAACATGCAAAAAAGTAGCGGATAGAATATATAAGTGATGTGAATATGAAACTTCTAGAAATAAATCAGAGTTAACAGTTTAATAAAATAAAAATTTTACTTGTTAATTTATATTAATTCATTAAAATGCCTACAAGATTAAGACCTAATGCAACTTATTTATCTCAAGAAAGAATTCATGATATTATCACTTCCAGAAATATACCCAATGCTGTGCAAGTTTTATCAAAGAAATATCATATATTATATACATATATTTATAGAATTTGGGAATTCACTGTGACAATAAATAATTAATTGGAGCAGATCGGATATAGTAATACCAATTTACCACGTAATTTTTGTCCGCATATGAAATTTATCTGTATCACCTAGCAAGGCCTATTATGCATAACTTATTTGCGAAACAGGGTACAAGTATGTAGAAACTGCCATTTATTAGAATTAGTTCCTAGCCAAAGTCGGTCAATTAACTTATGCTATATATGTTCTAAATTTATTTTAAACACAATGTATATATATACTTAATGATTTGAACCAGGTAAAAAATTCCTAATCGGTTAACCGAGTTGGCTTACCCAGATACAATCAGATTAACCTTATTGCTTCGGTTAGATCAGTTGACCCGGTTGACCCGAGTTATTCGGGTCAACCGGGTCAACTGAGTCAACTAACCTAATTAACTTGAGTTACCCAGAAGTTGTTCGCTAAACTACTGAGAACTTTTCTTCATTTAAAAA